GATGGTGATTGGTGCTGGATGTTGCTGCTGTTGTTGTTGTTGGTTGGTTGGTTATTTTCATAACCTCCGTTTTGTCTATGTTCACCTGGAGTCCTGTCTTCTCTGGATGCTTCTTCAACTAGTTTGTCGGTTTTCGCTTGTAAGTCTTCGATTTTGTGTGACATCAAACATAAATCATCCACGCGCGAAATCCAGGTCTTCTAGGTTCTTCACGTCGGTCTAGGATATCCCTGTCTTCTCGTTTCCCACTGTCTGACGCATAATCCAGTCCATCACAATTAGGAATATCATTGGTGATAATAAGCACCCTTGTCTGACTCCTGTGTTTACTCCAAACGCCTCGCTGAGTTTTCCGTTGTGGATCATGGCAATTCTTGCTAGTCTCCAAATTATGTTTCGGTTCATAATGACATCGGTGAGTAACTATCGTCATACGAAACTCCCTTAATCCCCGTTTCAACCAAATAACTATTGATATTTGTAGAATTGATAAGATTTTTCCCGTATTTAGTTACATAAACATACACCTGGCATTTCCTCTTTGATAGAATTATCAGATTAGTATGTAGGGAGTAGTCTCTTTCATAATGAATCATCGTGAACACTAAAACCTTTTAGTTGCTTTTCATGAATTTTTAAGCCTTGAGTCATGAAAATGAAACACGGTGAGAATAACTAATTTTCACTCCTATTAGGGATAAAAACCTCAACATCCGCTTTTTAGAGCATTCATGGTGCTTAAAAGTTAAGCCTGAGTTATTTGATCACTACAAGAGTTTCCAAACAAAATTTAAGTCTAATTGATTGACACAATGAGCAGAGTAAAATTATATTCTTTAAAGCAAACCGAAACCCATTCCGTAGATATTGGTTCAGGAAATGAAGTTTTATGTTTAGTGATTTTTTTTTCCTTCACGTTCCCCAGTGGAACATAGGGCTTCAAGCCAGTGGCTTGAAGTTTCTGTAGCAGTGTTTATTTTACAGGATGGGGTTGCTAGCCTCATTCCCAACCTTCCCTCTTCACTAGCATTATTTCTGGCTTAGCGAGGTAAAGGTGTTTGTCGGCCGGGGATCGAACCCCGGACCATGTGCATGGTTGGTGAGCGTCCTAACCGCTATGCCACCGACGCACGTTTAGTGATTTGGTGAAATTGAATTTTTATCAGTACATTTCTTATTTTTCGATAATATTTTGAAATTGCATTTATGGTCTGACTACATTCCTGTTTCATTTTTTACTTTCAAAAATGAATCTACACTTACTCACAAAGTTCAATGAATGCATTTTCACCAATTACAACGATGCAGGACTCATCATCCTTATCACTTTCAACATTAACATCATCATCGTCATCTCTTCTTCTACGCCATCTTTTTTCTCAAATAAACCAATTAACACATTCTGTTCATATATGAAAAACTGGAGACTAGGTCGTTCCATTGAACCAATAGCTGAGAAAGAAGAACAAGCATCACGTACATCATCAATATCTTTAGGTAATGAAGAGGTGAATATTATTAATAAAGAAGAATGCGATGGTCTTGTCACTTCATCTACTCCTGATAATGATGTAGATTTAAAAGAAATTAACAATGAAAATAATTCTAATTTAAAACAACTTCAAAGTAATAATACAGATACAGTGAGTTATAAAAAATCTTCAAAAGACAATGTTCATTCAACTGGTGAAGTTGAAAATTCTTTGGAGGATGTGAAATTCTATCGATTAGTTTCAAGATCAGCCACATGGGATGGATGGATGAAGCTGACAACTAATACTACAAAAAAAGAAATTCATTCACAAAAAGTTATTGTAAAATCTAATGCTTATAATAGTGAAGCTACTACAACTACTAACGGGAACACTGATATTACCATGGATAGTCAAAGTGAATTAAAAAGTGATATTATCGTGATGACGGCATTTTAAAGTTTAATGAAAAGAAGTTTTGTTATAATTACGTAAATAATTAAATAATTGACCAAATAATTGTCATCATCATTATTATTATTTGTTATTAATTTCGAGCTAGTCTGCTTGATTATTTTCTACAATAACCTGTTGCGGAATGATTTGTATCTTCTTTTACACACATACTTTTAATTTATAAGTATTTTCTCAAAATATATTTTAATATATATATTTGATTTAACTGGTATAACTTTCTCTGCATAGAAATTTAATATACGTTCAACCTTTTAAGATTAGTTGGTCAACTTGTAACAAAACAAAATATTCTTTTGTACTACTACTACTACTACACCTGTTAAGTAGTGACTAATACAGTAAGACTAGATCTAATGTTTCTTGCCAAGTGATACTTGATACCTCGCATTAAAATAAAGTAAATTACGGTACCATTTCAGCTAGCTGAACGGGTTAATTACAAACTCGATTCATCAACTTTATCCATCAATAAAGTTAAGATGTTTAAAACAAGCAATACAAGTTAATAAAGCAGGATTTAATGAATTCATCAAATTTCGGTAGAACTCGTCAGCTGAATACTCTACATACATGGATATATATACTTTTGAAATTACATTGGGAGATATAAGATTGATAAGTAAACAAACTACATTGAATTAGTCATGCAGAAAGACAGGTGCGAAGAGAGAGTATGAGAGATCAAAATTAAGATAAATTGCATTTCACTTCAATTACATCACTTAGATAAACAATTAGACATTATTTATTTATTTATTATTTATTTTTATTACAGCTTGATGCCACACCGTATTTTCAGTACATGTATGGAATTTTCAGCATGGATATCGGTAGCCCAAATTTTGCAGGCCGACGCACTCCTTTACCTCGCTAAGCCAGAAATAATTCTGGTGAAGAGGAGAGGTTAGGCATGAGGCTAGCAACCCCATCCTGTAAAATAAACACTGCTACAGAAACTTCAAGCCACTAGCTTGGAACGCTATATTCCACTGGAGAACGTGAAGGAAAAAAATTTCGAAAGTAATACTTATAATAACAATAATAATAATACTGTTGAAGTGAGTTAAGATAATCCTACTGATAAAGGATAGTTTTAAATGAATCAAGAATAATAATAATAGTAATAATAATAAATAAGAGGTAGAATAATAAGTTAAACGTATTACGTTAAGATGGAGGGATAATTAGTTGGGAATTCGTCTAACTTAACTAGAACGTGCCTGCGGAACATGACACTGCAACCAACTAGTCACTTGAAACTATCTCCCGAACTGAGATAGACACAAAAGTCAGACTGGAAAATGAATGACGACCGCGACAACCAACTTTTATTAAACAAAATACATGGTTAAAAGTCAGTATGAACGAAGAATATTCTTTTCAATAATTTCTCTTCAGGTTCTTACAATTATAAAATATAATATTTGTTGTCGTTACAATAAGGCCAGTTATGCGGCAGATACATTTTTTAACGTAGAATAACAGATTAGTTATGGGGTGTCAAAATAAATAGTCGTATTTGTGTGACAAACGTGCTAGGCTGAATTCGATTACAAAATAATGTAAAACGGGAGACAATGGTGATTAATCATAATAGATTTGTAGAGTGGGGGAGAAAATGTCATAAGAAAAAGATGTAGGTAGCGAAGAAAGTTTTCTTTTCGGCGATTCATTTTTATCAACTGTACAATCGTAATTATATTTAACAAAGAAATCATTAGACGAATCAGATGCTGGTAAACTTTGTCCTCGAAAAGTGTATTATAATGTGACGTATAACTAGAAGGGATGACTAAATGGAAGTTAGAAAAGAGGCAGAAGTTGGCATGACGTAATAAGTGTGAGATAATGACTAATCAGTAAGATTGTGTAGAATGAACAGGAACTAGTGGAAAGGTGATGAAGTGTTTTTATATAAAAATGTATGAAAACGCAATGTTATTAACAAACAGTAATAGAGTGGTAATAAAATATGTATGATGGGAATAATAATGATAATGCGATAATAATAATAATAGTATACTTACATAATAAAATGAAGCAAAATTATGGTAAGAACGTTACTGTGGCGACGGTAGGGCAAGTAATTGTATTTAGTGCTTTTGAATACAGAGGTCCGGTCTCAGATCTCGAATAGCCAATAATTCAGCTATGTACAGATGGCATATTCGAAGTTGCTTTGTGCGAATGGAGTACTCTGTGAAAGCATTCATGCTGGGGTGCTCAATGTGCATAGTTGACAAGGTGTTCGAAAGAATGGAGCTCCTACTATTCTTCTTCTTCTTTCCCATGGCTACCCAAGCTGGACAGTGTTCCAGAATACGTTTGTGGACTTGACATTGCGTACGGCCGATATACTTTGCTCGACAAAAGCAATTAAACTGATAAATACACACTGAGATGGCCAAAAGCGGTATCTTATCCTTAACGTTAGACTGGATTAACTGTCTGCTGAATAATGTGTTACGTGAGATGGCTACTCAAAATGTCTTCTTCAGACATTTAGAATGGTATACATCGTATATTACACTTACTAAACCCTCAGTAATTTAAGTTATACATAGAACAAATCTGATTGTCTGCATGACACCGAAGGCCCTCAGAAAAATTGGCCATAAATAAATGAATGGAAACTGTCTAAAAAAGTTATCAAGTCAGTACATGCATGAATCATCACTGCCCTCAATTCCAATTAGATATTTCAAGATATCAACTTCTTGAAAATTGTCCCAGATAATTTGTTCAAGCAATCCAAGGTTGCTTTTGAAGGTAGTCCTAAGATGATGTGAATAATAGCCTACATCGGCAGTCACGCTTTCATGTTTAGAAACGATTCTTGTTCAATATGCATTAAAGAGAGTATACTGGATCTATGAGTGTAATGTCTTGTTGGAAAATGGTATTGTAACACATAAATTGGAAAGATTTATGTGCAGATTTCTTCTACAAAATCCAGAGTGATAATTCCAGTCGAATAATTAACCACATGTTGAGTTAGGCATAAAATCCAAAACACAGGATTTGCATAAAGTACGCCTAATACTATACATAATGAAATATAATATAGCAAACCTCAAATTGTGAGGTGTCGGTGGCTGTATCCCGTCAGATACACGGTCTCTGTGAGCCGATAAGAAACAGCAACAAACTAAAAGTGAGAAAGGAATTAACAGTATGTAAAATAACAGTTCACCAAGGGTTTTGCTCTGTCAAAATGACTACACTGCAGCTATATCACCGATTTTGTAGAAATAAGGTTTTTATTTCATATTCTCTTACATATGTATAACTACTGAGACTCAGCTTTTAAAGCTAAAATCAAGTTACTATCTGTCTTAAGGCGTCGTTTCGTCAGACTTTAATTTTAGGTCTATCGTTAAGAGTAACTAGTACAGGACTACAAATATCTTAGTTTTGTCAGAATACTGCGGAATCATTCAAGTAGTATTCCTGCTCTACTCAAAACTTTCTACGGGTATTTAACTAGGATGCAACGAAAGTCTGAATATTGTTGTTTTCTGTAGTGAATAATTTGTGAAAATGTAAAAATCAAATGTGATGTTGCTACACATTCAAAGTGCATAAAATTCACATGTCCACAGTTTAATGTTGCAAATAAACAAAATACCTAATTGGTTTTTGAGGACCACCTAATCAAACATAAAATGTGAAGAATTTATTGAAAATGGTGTATTTATAAAATCAGAAGCTTACATCACAGCTACCTTTACGTCAGTAGACAAGGAAACCGGATATACTTTACAAAATGAGAACATTTTATACAAGGATTATTCATGGCATACAATACCAGTAAATACACAACTATTTTACATGGTTTTTCAGTAGCCTTTGTCAACAAGTGACCTGAACTTTTGAATTCGAGTGTGGCAAGAAATTAAGGTCTTCTGGTCTCGCACACAGTCTTCTATATGTTGTTTTACAGTGTACAACACTCCAATTGTGATAGTTAAGTAAATAAAGAATATAAGTTTTGGTGACACAATGAGTTTGATTCCATACACACACGTTTCTGTTCACAAAACATGGCCACTATATTATTTCATAATATTGGTCTTAATAATCGTATTATTACTTCTTTAAACTCACCACTCCTTTGGATATTACATCCAGTATAAGATATGATAATTTGAGATTAAGTTCTACGTTTCGTTGACAAAATAAACAAATTAATGGACTTCCAGTTTCTTCGTCGTGTACAAATTTTGGAATCTAGTTCCGATTCAGTTTAAATTTGCCGGACTATCACCAATAAACTTGAATTCATCACTTGTGTATATTTAAAACAAGCAACAAAAGTTAGTAAAACAGGATTTAATGAATTCATCAAATTTCGGTAGAACTCTTCATGAGGCTACTCTACATACAGGTATATATATATATACCACTAGAATTACATTGGGACACATAAGACTGATAAGATATCAAGAATTTCGAACTAAATAATATTGATAATAGTAGTAATGCTAATAAATAATAATAATGTCAAAACGAGTTAAGATAATGGCAGTGATAAAAGATGTTAATAATAATCACAGTTAATTAATAAAACACGTTACCATGGTAGATTCAGAGTGACTACCATTTCCTTTTGTATACAGAAACCTGGTTTATAGACTTTAATTGTACAAGCCTCCGCAATTGCTAGCATCTCCCTGTTTGTTTGTCTGTTGACAACAATGAATGACTTGACAGCTTCAATACTATGTCTGTAGTCAATAAGATGCCTTGTTTTTGAACTTTTAGGCACTTTGCATTCAGCTGTTTTCAACCACTTTGGCAAATGCTACATCATACGAGTAGACAATCACCTTTCTGTACGATCTATGTATTTGCTTCCACAGACACACTCAAACTGACATACGTAGTTTGAAGTGTTGGAGATTGGAGACTGGTCTTTCTCAGACTGTCGATTTTTAGTAGAATCACCACCAGGATAAGTCAGTTGGTGCTGTTTGCAACAAACGCTTCCAAAATAAAAATGAAATTCACGCTTTGTCTAGGAATTTCAGGTGAATTCAGTCGAATGATTACAATCGTTTAAAATGTCTACCATGGTTTCATTAAAATGTATGATGACTAAATGATAAGTGGAAACCATAAATCTTCTATTGAACAACAT